ATAATTACGACGCGGGAGAGGGATTTATAATATTAATAACGGTATATTTCACAAAGCCCATGAGGCATGCTAGTGCGCATGATCAAATGTACAACAATGTAAAGAAGATGACGGTCCAAACAAAGATTAAATGTACGGAGAAGAATATAATTTTCAAACGGGTACAAAAGACAACGTAACCATGCACTGCGATGACAAACAAACACAAAGCGGACAAGATCATATAATGGAGTACTGAGGGTGATCTGTTATGGAGATCACATCACTGTAAACGATTGACTTATGAAGAACATTGGGGAGGACACAGAACTGGAGTAGAAAATATCCGCTCGGGAGAAGATGCGCGAAACGAGTTCGGAGGATAGAAGGAGGCTAGTGAACGTGAAAGCCTTAGAATTACAGAGGAAGAGCTGCGGTCGAACCACGAAAGTACAACGGAATAGAGTAGGACGACAAATGGATCATAAATAAACTGTTTCAAGGTTTGATAAAGATGGACTGACTTCTTGAACAAGGAGTAAAGGGCTTCGGAGCTTCACCGTTACCGGATTGCCTGGTTTATATTATTTGTTATTTGATTAGTATTACCCTTCATCCACTGTTAGGTAAAAGCGACTACGTATTTATCACTACAGAACTCCGTCTAAGGCACCATCACTGTAATATTAAGATGTTCAGGAGCTACTGGACGATTGATGCAACGAGGCTTAAAGCTGGAGCTGCTGAGCTGGAGTGGTTTCCTAGCCTGGAAAACGCAACAACAGAACAGCACTGGAGCCTTATCAAGACAAATATCTTATTTCTGCAGAACTAATGCGCTTCCCTGAAAAACAGGACAGCGAAGAACAAACCGCCTTGGTGGAGCCCAGCGATAAAGAGAGTATACGTCAACCGAATCGCAATTGAATGACGCGTAGCCAAAATCTCTACGAATCCCCAAACAAACCACAATTGATTTGCAGTGCTCCACGGTACTGAATTAGGGAAATCATTACAAACTGCACAATAAAGCAGACCTCAAATTTGCGGACAAAAGCATTCAAGCAAGCGACAGGCAAATGTTATGCCCAGAGAGAGCCAACAAATCGTTCGTGTTCTCTGACCACGCCAAATTGAAATATGGCGGGCAACGAATCGACAGACGATTGAGAAAGGTCAATAGAGAAGCAGCACACGGATAGAGTTACGTCACATAGAATCTTCTTGTGTTTGGAAGAATTTAAAAAAATCAGAGTAAAATACGGAGAACGATACAGTGTAGAAATAGGAGCTGGGACATTTATAGATCAAGGGGCAGCCACAGATCCTGCGCGCAGTACACCAGGGATAGAAACAAAGCGGTGGCAGTTCAGAGGAAGCTCGAACGACAATAGGAGCCCGAGCTAGCAAACTGTGCCGAATATAAGCCCAAAAGATAATACCGTTACTACAGAACCTGACCTTCAAACCTCTGGACTAAATATCCGCTGGAGCAGGTGCGTAGGTTTTTTGGTGAGCTTAACGCCATCAAATCCGCGGGACCAGATGGCATCCACCCAGCCTTAGTTAAACACAGTCAAGGTTCTAATTGGCCCACTCTGCCACCTGTACAACAAAACTGTTGAGCAGGTAAGGGAGGACCGAGACAAATAGTGGAGAAGTATCGTCCAGTAAGTCTCACGAGCATCTTGTGCAAAGCTCTAGAGAGAATCATTCAAACCCACTTAGGCGAATACTTCATTCAGCACCACCTGCTGATTGCATCATACCATGGGTTCCTAAAGGTGAAATCGTGTCTCAGCAATCTGTTGCACTTCTCAAATGAAGCAACTGCGAGATTAGACGAAGGTAAGAAAGTGGAAGTATGCTATCTGGACTTTAGCAAAGCATTTGACTCCGTGTGTAATTGCTTACTTTTAGCCAAGATAGATGCCTTAGGGATGAGGCGGAACATCCAAAAGTAGCTACCAGC